GTCCAGAACTATGATTTTTGCAGTATTCATTTGCACCAGTAAAACTGCTTATTTGCCCATTAGACATGGATAACTCCTCTTACAGGAGTCCTCTGAAGTAACATGTCTGTGCAGGCCTGGTTCCAGAATAGTTACTACTGTATGTGAAAAGCTGTTTTCTCTTCTGGATGTCCTTGAGTTGTCTGTTTTCTCTTCTGGATGTCCTTGAGTTGTATCAGCCTGCACTATATGCCCTCTGCTCTGCTATAGGTTCTGATGATTGCCTTCCAGAAAATCTTGCAGTGACATTTAAGTTTATTCCGCCTTATTCTCTTGCTGGAGGGGTGCACATCTGTTATTTGGCTTTCCCAACTCTCACTTCAGTGTATTGGCTTAAGCAGATGAGCAATGGCTTCTCTGAGGACTCTTCATTTTGTGGGCACCAGCCAACTCAATGAAAGAATCAAATATTCAGGTTGCTGGAAGGGACCCTACATCCTACCCTAAACAGGAATGCTCGTTTGTTTGTCTGCTGGCTTCTGTATTTCTAGCTCCCCTGCCTCAAAAAGGGCATTGAGTGTGTGTTGATCCCACCTAACCTACTGCCAACAAGTATGGCATACTCTTGAGGAGAGACAAGCTACATTCTGAAGCAGGGTCTGAGGGCATCCAAAAGTGATATCCTTCCAGCACTTGAGCACTGCGGTTACTGAACTTGGCTGTATGTGATGTGCATCACCTCTTCTTCATTGAATCAGTGGCCCACATAACCTGGGCTTTGAGCTGAATCCTATCTCTCATCCTCCCCACATTCAGAGGGTAAAAAAACTCTCTGGAGACTTCCATTGAATTAAAGGATTCATCTAGAGAGGATGGGTGACACTGCCCAAATGAGGAGCTTCTGCATGCACACAGAAGCCTAAATACAAATATTTAAGGCTCAGGCACACAATGGATGTGAGAGTGCTGTGACCTTTCAGATGACTCTACTGTGTTTGGTGACCAAAATGTGAACTTTCTTGGGTTTACGTGCCAGAAGTGGTGAAAGATACTTTGCTGTAAACCATGAAACAAAAGTAAAATAAACTTAATAAGTAGTCAAAAACAAACAAACAAGAAGGACTTTTTCATTCATGTAACTACTAATAAGAATAACTTGTGATGATGAATAGCAGAGAATTTCATATAAGCTTATTTTGAAGAAGAAATGCTCTTGCCAAGTTAGGTAGTAGCCTACCTGAGTATAAACAGATCATGCCAAGTATGCCAGGACAGCTGTTCTCTGAACATTGTTAACTAGCATGAGACTACTATGAAGTATTTGTCATTCATATTCCATATCAAGATTAAAATGCAAGACATTTAAGCTGGAAAGCTAATGTACTGCCTGACAGGTCCAGCTGCCAACAGAACATCTCTTCCTAATGACATCCACATTCTTGGTGACATTAGAAAAAATGAAACAAAAATGGAAAAATAAATAATTTGAGCTTCGAGAACAGTATTTTGGGAACAGAGAAATGACTAGAGATCACTAAAAAGTTGTTTCTTACTTTAATATACGTAATTTAATCACATTTTTAAAGCACTTAGGGAAGTATTTTAATTTTGTTTTGAGCAGTAAGTGCTGAAGGGATTTCAATCTTAATTTTGCCCAAACATGGTCTTTCACATCTTTTCAAATGCAATTTTGAAGTATTCCTGAAAAAAAATCACCAGATAAAAATCATTACAAAAATAATGTTGGCCATGTGTTTCATTGCAGCTTAACTAAAATCAAGATCTGTAAATTAGTGACTCTGAAAATATTTTGAAAATGTTTTTAGAAGTCTATAACCCATTGTAAAAAGTTGCAGTATAAAAACTTGTTGCTGTCCTAACTTTTGCAGTTCACACACATACACATATAATAAATTCAGAAATGTTGGACCATTAATTAGCTCTTTGTAAGTAATTAAACTTAGAAGAATTGAGATTTACTTGACAGTATTCATTATCTGTTCTTCTGATACTCCTCTACTAATGACATCTTTGGAATTTAACTTCTACGATGTAATACAGGGCAAAGAAGAACTGCTGTAAAATGGGAAAAATAGTGACAGGATTAGTTCTTTGGATTATATTCAAGGGATCTTCCAACTGAAAACTCACAAATATGGTTTTACAAAAAAAATAAATATATTTTTAAAACATAGTCCATGACTTCTTCACAATAAAAGATAATGAGACACCAAAATTGTCCATCTAAAGAGCAGCAGCAAGGTTAGTTGTCATCCAAGTTACTTACAATAAAGTTCTAAAAAAAATGCATTGAATTGGAAACAATGTATGAATTGAACACATAATTCAATGCAAATTCAATTAGTTTGCTAATAGCAATAATTCCTGAATATCATAAGGAGGGAAAATTACATGATTCTCATTTAAATTATTATGTGTCCAATTTATTTCCTGAGGAAATGGTGTTCGTAGAACAACCTTTTGAGTCAAAAATTACAATGATACATTAAAAATATCAGATGAGCCTTACAGTACAACTAATGGTTGAAATGTTTTTGTATGCTGCTGGTATGTTATTGCCAGCACTCAAGACTGGTATTTTGTGTAGAAGTAAAATGAAAGTAAGGTCAGAACAAGGTTATGCTGGAACTTTGCTAATATTGGCACTTCTAAAAGTTCATTGTTTCTGGTATCTTGATTTGGCCATGGACTGTAACGTTTAAAGTAGGAATCACAGAATCACAGAATCAGAGAACTGTAGGTGTTGGAAGGGACCACGAAAGATCATCAGGTCCAACCCCCCTGCCAAAACAGGTTCCTCAGAGCAGGCTGCCCAGGTAGGCGTCCAGACAGGCCTTGAATATCTCCAGAGAAGGAGACTCCACAACCTCCCTAGGCAGCCTGTTCCAATGCTCAGTCACCCTCACCATGAAGGAGTTCTTTCGCATGTCAGTGTGGAACTTTCTGTGATATAACTTGCAGCCATTGCCCCTTGTCCTATCCCCACAAACCACTGAGAAGAGGTTGGCTACATACTTCTGTACCCAACCCCTCAGATATTTATATACACTGAGGAAATCCCCTCTCAGTCTTCTCTTCTCCAGGCTGAGCAGACCCAGGTCTCTCAGCCTTTCTTCATAGGGAAGATGCTCCAGGCCCCGTATCATCTTTGTGGCCCTCCGCTGGACTCTTTCCAGGAGATCCCTGTCTTTCTTGTACCGGGGAGCCCAGAACTGGACACAGTACTCCAAGTGAGGCCTGACCAGGATAGAGGGGGAGGATCACCTCCCTTGACCTGCTGGCTACTCTCCTTTTAATGCACGCCAGGATCCCATTAGCCCTCTTGGCCACAAGGGCACAGTGCTGGCTCATGGTCAACCTGTCGTCCACCAGGACCCCCAGCTCCTTCTCCTCAGAGCTCCTCTCCAGCAGGTTGTCCCCCAGGAAGATGTTTTCTGATATGAATAAAATGAAATTATTATTATTATTATTATTTTTTAAACTGGAAACTATACTGTAAATAAAGAATATATAGCTTTGTATTTCATTGACTTTACTGCATAGTGGCAGTGTTTTCATAAATGAAGTCTTCCTCTGCAAAGTGAAATTCTTCAGTTTACTGAGATGTTTGTTGAAATATCTGTTGCTACTGATCTCGTTTGCTCAGCAATGCCCAGTATCTCCAAAAGCTAAACTTAAAGACGTTTGAAAGTTGCTGAAATTTGGGATCATCAGAGAGTGTCAAATTGCAGGCTACTGAGTGCACTGTATAAGCTGAGATAGATAGAGAAAAAGAATTATCCAATCATAGAAATGAGGGAAGTAGAACATTGTAATTAAAGTATATTTCAATATAAATTCTATTACAAAGCCATCATAGTTTTAGTTTCATCAACAAGGTGGCACGATAATGAGACACTTGAGTACATACATTCTGATACTGCTTATAATGCACTTTACTTTCATCTCAAACCTCTTCCTCAGAGAAATATTTATTTTCTACTTCAAATTCAAGAAACTCATATATATAACTGGTATTCTTCAATAAAACAATTTAGTAGCTGGTCTGCAGTGTCCTAGATAGTAGTAAGCTAAAAGATTTTTATCGTTTAACAAATTCAGTGACATTAAAGTTGAGATAGCCTTGCTTACCCATAGAGCTTTCTCATCTTGTCTCAGGGAGGTAAAGGTAACACACAAGTTTTGCATAACCCATAAGGATGACTCAGATTTCCTCAGGCAGCTAAACCAGCGTTATGTTGAAGTGCCCAGTTATGCCATAGCTTATAGAAAGATGATGGTCCTTAAAGTAACTTTATGGAAATATTTAGCAGCTACTCCCATAAAAATGTGAAAAGCCCTGCATCAGCCAGAAGCATTCTTTATCATTTCAAGCATATATTCATCCTAAAAGTGGTGGATATGAAAACATCAAAACTAAAGAAGTAGTGGAATGCGATAGAAGAAATATTTCTGAAAGATTATAATCTCTAAATAATTTTGATTTATTTTTATCTAGAGTTTTTCAAATATTAATGAAATATCTACCTCAATTTATACTTTCAAAACCCGTGTACTCCAAGCGAGGTTACCCAGCTGTGCTACCTAGCAGGGATCCATGCCTTTTGTCATTATAACACTCCCCAGTTGTATTGCCAGTAAGTGGACTAGAAGTCCTTAGCTCCTGTAGTGCACTGAGCATACACATGCACACACACAGTGCAGACATACTCAGCATAAAGGAATATACATATGGTGCTAAAGTTTGGCTTTATTGCAGGCCAATTGGTGTCCTGGTTAAGATATGAGATCCTGCAGAACATCGACCATGTGTTCCTGCATGTAATCAGGAATGTTCAGTGGAATTTAACATTCAGGTTAAAAAATTACCCAGGCCTAAAGATGTAGCCAAATTTTGGTGGTCACAATACCGTGCAGTCCCTAAAGCCCACATATTTTAATTCCCTGGTACAGTGATTTCTGGTGCCTGCATATTCAGAGGGCACTGTGAGGCTACTCACCCCTAACAAGCAGCTCCGTCTCATCTGACACGGTGTCTGCTGCAGTCTGGACCCTGCAGCCGTATCTCCCAGCGTGCATCAGGAGGATGTTCCTGATCATCAGATCTGCAGAGGACGCTTGCTGAAACAGGGATGAAGGGTCCATTTAAAGTTTAGTATATCTCTGTGTTCAAGGTACCTCACAAAGGTGTTTTGTGAAGTGTGAGAAAGTCACAGCTGCAACTTTCATCTTACACTGGTGTGCCTTAATACTCTCTTTGAGGATTATCAGAACACTTTTCTTATACAATTATTAATAGGGATTGAAGAAGAGGATTTCATTTTTTTAATAACTTTGACTTTGCTTAAAACAGTCTGTGAATATTTGCATGCTCAAAGAAAATGATTCCAAACTAACACTAACATAAAGAAATTTGTTAAGGAGCCAAACAGTTTTTTTTTTTTTGTTTGTTTGTTTGTTTGTTTGTTTTTTGATGTAATCCTTAACATACATTGAACAGGTAGTCTTAGAAACGAAGGACTCTCTCTTCCTCTTCCCTACAATGCAGTGACATTAGGAGTATATATCTCTACATTAATGAAATTAAGATAAATTGAAACAAAATGTTAATTGATTTTATTGACCAAGAGGAAATTAATACTAAATAAGACCAAAGAAATATAAACAGATTTTCATTTTTCCTGATGAAATTTGTATATATTTAAACCTAAAACATGTAATCCGTAGATATATGTACAAAGAGAACCAGTTCAGATTTTTATTTTTCATCATTCTAGGCAACAGTAATTGCAATGCCCCAAAACCATGATCAGAAAATTGAAAAGTAAAACAGATAAGAATCTCTGTGTTATTTCATAAATGGAAGTGATAATATTAGATTTTATATATACAAAATCATGTATATCCAAGATTTACTTTAGTCATTCCATCTTATTCCATCAGATGTAGTGAGGCTAAGTCCACAGATAGTTATAATACTGTAGCTACTTAAGGAAAGATCATGTAAGGGTGAACAGAAGTCACCCTGAGGATATGATGTAGCAATTACAGTTTACTTTGTCAATTCTGTGTTCTGAAAATACTTGAAAAATTTGTAATTCTAAGGTAAACATTAGCAATACATACATATATATTAGCTAGCTACATATAGCTAATTGCCATATATATATTTGTTCCTGTCAAAATATTTTTTTATTGAGTCAAAGAGAAACGTTTTTAACAGATTAAATATAAGATTAAAACATATTAGATATCTCTAAATTTTCTTGTTGGTGCTACTCTGTATGATATGTAAATCTAACATGTACAATAGAATTATAATTACACTGCTTATGATATAAAACATATCATTTTAATAATTACAGAAGTTATATGATACATAATCTATAATAATCTACAATTAAATAATATATAGTTTTACTAAGTACAACTATTCCTATTATAAGCTATTATGTAAACTGCTATTATATTCTTGAGCCATGTAGAGTTTATATAATAAATCACTATGCTATATAAAATGTATTACATCATGTACACTGCATTTTTTACAATAGTATAACAAATATACATAATCTATAATAAATACATACAACATATGCATATATTGCCTATTTATGTTATGTTAAATTATATTTACATATTGCATATTACATATCAAGAGCAATAGATTTTCATGTATAGTTATATATTTTTATATAAAGTAGTATAATGTAATGCAGTGCAATATAGCCTTATACGGTATAATACTATATGTTATATATTATGTACAGGTGTTTATATACTCCTCTTCCGTGTTTCACTTTAAGAAACATTTACTGAGTAGAGGTATTTCTCTTCTCAGATTTTATTTACTTTGCTAACCAAGAAAAGATTGTCAGTCTCTCCTTGAATGACAGTTTCCCCAGGTCATCATTGGCTGCACTGGTGACTAAATGGTGACTAAAGTTGTATTTATTTGCCTGTTTTTTCTTTCTGTTTTTTTTTTTTTTTTTTTTTTTTTTTTTTTTTTTTTTTTCTTCACATATTCTGCAGTCAGGTAGGTAGGTACACTCAGATCTTCATTTGCAAGTTATGAGCTCTCACTTTATAACCATCATCCCGTATGTATCTGACCTTGCACTTTGAAGTATTAAATTTATGTTTATGACTTCAGTTCTCAAACCCATCTAATTTTTCTTTTGTGATATTTTTGTCATCTGCTGTTTTGGTAATATAATAAACAAATAAACAAATAAACTTGGGCAATTTTGTACCACACAATTGTCATTCAAATTCTTGTACTTCTATGCCAATGTCAAGGTTAAATAAGATCGATTCCAAGATGCAATCTTTTAAAAGCTAGTTTCTCCTTTCTGGGAAGAGCAGCTCCTTTTCAGCACAATATCTTGCCTTATCTTCTTTAGCTGATGAATGGAATGGAATGGAATGGAATGGAATGGAATAGTTCAGTTGGAAGGGACCTTCAAGGGATCATTTAGTGCAACTGCCCACTTCAGGGCTAACTAATCTTCTCCTCATTTACATTTTTGGAAGTGGGGTTGTCGTATTCCACACAGCACCAAGGCCAAATCCCTACTGAAGCATATTCACATGGAAGGAAGGAAAACAGAGGAAGCAGGTCAAGAACATTACTGACACCAGAGTGAATGATCTATGGCTCAATAACCCTGTAAATGTAAGAAGTGTGTATATAATGGTAGTGTTTTGCCTTCTGAAGTGTCCTCAGAATGATATTGCTGGAAGCAAGCTACTCATTTCCAGGTCGTAATACAATTCCTGTATTTCTGCTCTGGCATTCCAGAAATCACAGTGATGAGTGCTCTGCAGCTGTAAAAGCACATGCATGACCAGGAGTCAACTTCAGGATACACATTTTTCTAACACATCAGAGTTTACTAGCCAATGAAATGGGTTGCTCAAGATGATTAATGATTTTAGTACAAAGCCTTCATTATTAGAAAGGTAAGGCAAGAATCAGTCCACTTTTGTTCTCTCTTCTTTGGATGTAATTTATGTGTTTTGTTGTCAAGTGGGGAGAAAAACATTATAGGTAGCAATTATTTGGTTTCATTGCTCATAAGCTCTTAAAAAACCTGACTGTCACTGTCTTCCTGAGAGTTCATGACAATATGAATCATAATATTCTTAATCAGGAAAGATATGCATTTCATATGCATACCTGTGTAGCTGGGCTGGCAAGCAGCTATTGGAAGAATCATTGCTCTAAGTAGAGAGCTGTGCAGTAAAATGTAAGCCTGTGAAACACTTGGATTTATTACAGCACAACAGAATGTACAACCAGCATTGTTTGTGCGAGTGGAAGAATACTACATTTGGTATGTTTAATACAGATGGATATATGTTTAGACATTAGCTTCATTATCATGGTAAATGATGAGATATTTTAGATTCCATTTAGATAACTAGGAACTATGTTTGACCAAGACCTCTAAAAAAGACAATATTATTTGCCGTTCAGTGGTATCAAGGGTCTTTACAAATTTTAAGGTTTCTCCTATTTTATGCAAGATATATAAATTTTAGAAAAAAAAATATTATATAGTAAGATTTTGGTAATATTTAACTTTACTCTGGGGATAAAACGCTTCATAACTCTAAGTATTCTTAGATTTTATCCTTGTTTTGTACAAAGGTTTCACAAAATACAGAAAGACTAAGTAAAGGCTTTATTAAGAGAGCTATACTATTGTTGCTATGCTGTTGCTATGCTCATTCTCGTCTACTGGAATGTGAGGACTTTCATATTGACCCTTAAGGCAGCCCTCATTATTGAGAATGAAAGGATTTGTTTATTTAGGAAAAGTATTAGAAGCCATAGTAATAGGCCATTATTTTGTGGTGATTATTATAGAGACTCCCTTTTACCTGGTCGATTATTTACACTAATGTCAATAGAGAATTGTTTGGATAATCTTAATTTGTATCTATTTTGAAAATTAGCTTTGTGTCTGAACTTCCTTAGGCCTGGAGCAAGCCAGGGAAGAAGAGGCTGCAGCCAAACAGTTGGCACATGTAAGACTGGACTAGAGTTTTAGACTGGATTAAAAACAATGAGAATTTGAAAGTAAAGACATTACAATACCAGTGGGTCAAGGTTCATGTATCGTTTTGTTGATGATCTTATCCTGTTATAAGTTCAGAACTACAAAAAATTCTGGTGGTCAAACTGATGTGCTGGCTTTCCATATCTTAAGACAATCTCTATAACATGTCACTGGAGTTGCTTGTTTAAATCTGAATGATGACAATCCAGTTTTAAAAAATCTGTTAAGCAGGGAAGCATGTAATGCTTCAGCAAAAGCAGAGCCTTGCCCTCCTCTTTAGGGAAGATGCAGAACAGGTGGTTACAAGTAGCATAGAAAGAGTTTGCATCTTGACTATGTGACTCAGAACAGCCTGAGTTATCTGTGACAGCGTGGTTTTAATATAACGAAAGCCAAAATTAGTGGTGTCTAAATTTCTTTGTCAACATCTAAATTTCCAATTTATTAAGTGTACATTCTGGAAAGCTGCATTTAATTCCACTAATTTTATGCTCTTCTCCAACAGAGCACATTTTGCAATACATGCATTATATCAAAGAAGCATTTAATTAGAAAAAATCTATATTCATTGTTGTTCTGAATATCATTTATTACCCATTTAGCCAAGTATCAAAAGTATTTGTATTTATTCAGTAAAAACTTCTACTGTGTGGAATATATATTGTATTTTAACAAATTTAAGGAACATTTATTAGGCAACTTCTAATGATTTTAAGGAAAGGTAAAATTAGCTTTCAAGGCCAACATCAGCTGGGCACTTACGGCAACACTGAGCACTTTCGGGGCCTTCATTAACCAACAAATAAATAATAATACAGCTACTATGCTATCTGTCATGACTAATAGTTCTTCTTTCTGGGACAACAAATTATTGTGTCATTTATATTATGCTCCAGAGTATTCCATTCATCAGTTTTTGGGTAGCTCCAGTGATGAATACTGCGTGAATTTATTATTCTTACTGTTCCAGTGTGATATGTTATCTCTGAGGTCATAGTTACGTCTTCAGTGTATCTACTTAGGTTTACAAGTATTGACTTTTTTTTTTTTCCTTTC